GTCCTAATAAAGATCCCAACAGTTGTGTGAGTACAAGTGTATTGTGTGTCATGTGCTTTCTAGAAATGGGGTTGGGCGACACACTCACTCTCCCACATAGCCTGTCAGATTTGCCTTCTAAGAGCCAGGTCAGTTGACTAATGCATTTTCCCCTCAGCAACCCACAAGTTTAGATTTCTCAAAAATTTGGCACCTCAGAAGTACAACTTCTGTGTTAAAATGGTTTAGAAGGAGGGCAGGGGACATTCACTGGATTTATTTAAGACACAGAGGAAGAAAGTCAAGTCAGTAGCCAAAAAATAATACTCACAATAGTTAATATTTTTTATGTGATTACTACCTGTCATCCACTGGTCTAAACTCTTTATATGTACTAATTCATTTAAATTTTATGAAGCAAAACTCATTATTGTTATTCCCATCCTACAGATGAGGACCCTGAGTCCTAAAAGTTAAATAAGTTGCCTAAGATCATTCACTTCCAGTGACGAAACTGGGATTTGAACTCAGAAATTGGCTTACGATCCCGTCTTCACTGCTTCTGTAGTAGGCACTTTAAAAAAATGTAAATAAGCCCATGTTACTCATGTAATCTAGCTGAATATGCCTGTGTATAATGTTGAGGATTTAATTCAAAGACACTCAGTAGCAATACCCCTAACACTTAAAACCTTACTAGACTCTTTCCCCATGTATCATAGAACATCTTCCATAGAAAATCCGAAGTTGAAGAAGCTTGGTAAAAAAAAAAAGCTTTCCCATCTCAAGATAAGACACTTTGTAAAACAACATTTTCATAGATTTCTCCAGTTTTCCTGACTTGAGAGCTCCCTAAATCCTCAGAGGTAATCCCTGACTTGGTCCCTTATGAAACAAATGACTAACTTCTCAATTAATGAAAAAACTCAAGGAATCCTCTTCATTCATTCAACCATATGGGCTCACTAATATGGAAGAACATCGTTTTCTAAATCCTCAGCCTCCCGAGTTGCTGGGATTACAGGCATGTTGATTTTGTTGAAAATGTTGTTTTACAAAGTGTCTTCTTATGATTGTGACCACATCCCAGAATGTGGGTGCAGGTATATTCTCTGGGTCCTCCCGCAACTGGCTGCCCCACTGCACTGACCTTGTGTCAATGAGATTATTTCCTTGTTTCCAGGGCTTGGACAAATGAGGTCCTCTGACTCTTCTTCCCAGGGAAATGAAAACTGCTGGTCATATTCTGCTGTAGGTTCTTACTTTGTCCTGTCTTCTACTAAAGGCTTTCCTTTGCATATGCATGGTTCTACACTAGCCTGTGATTGCTTTCCTCACACCTGGCCCCCTCCTTGATCTTTCTGTCTTCACTCTTTGTCCCTTTTGATATGTCACTCTTGAATTAAACACAAAATGCATCCATCTCTCATTCCCCATGGCCCCATCAGGATTCCAGCCCTATTTAATCTGGATTCCAACCACTTAACTGGAATCAAATCTGGATTCCAACCCCACTTAACCTCAGGATTGCAACCACTTAACCTGCTTGCCCATCTTCTGCTTAGTATTTTTCACATCATTCCTAGCCAGGGCAGTTGTACTTCTTATGAAGGTGGCTTCTAAGTTTTACCCTGGAACATTTGTAGGAATAACTTGCCTATTTTAGGTCTACCTTAATCTCACTATCTCCTCTGTGGAGATTTCCCTAGCCACTCAAGGGCGCAAGGGTTAGAGCCCTCACTCCATAATGATAGAACATATGACACACTTCACTCTCCTGCACTGTTCTGCCTATTGTCTAGCATAAATGTTGCATGGTTTTTGTTTTTTTGTTTGTTTTTTGAGACAGAGTCCCACTCTGTTGCCCAGGCTGTAGTGTGGTGGTGCCATCTCGGCTCACTGCAACCTCCGCCTCCCAGGTTCAAGTGATTCTCCTGCCTCAGCCTCCTGAGTTGCTGGGATTACAGGCATGTGCCACCATGCCCGTCTAATTTTTGTATTTTTAGTAGAGATGGAGTTTCACCATGTTGACCAGGCTGGTCTCTAACTCCTGACCTCAGGTGATCTGCCCACCTCAGCCTTCCAAAGTGCTGGGATTACAGATGTGAGCCACCGTGCCCAGCCAAATGCTACATGTTGAGTAAAATATTTTGGCTTCATACATATATTCATTTAAAATTTGTGTAATATTAGGGAAGGTGACTAGAGAAGAGTAGGAAAAAAGGAATACAGTTCATTCCACATAAATGCAACACCATTGGGGTCCTCCCTCACCAGTATCAGGGAAGCCTTGCTTTGAGAGTTTTATGTATTTCTATATTTTTGCCAGTTGCCAAGAGTTGAATAAAAGTTTTTCTGGTTCTTAAGCACTGAGTTACAATGGAATTCCAACAGGGTTACACATGACATCCCACTTGAATGCCCAGCAGGGACTTTAAGGTCACTGTAATAATGAATGGCCAAGAATTAATAGGATTTGAGCCTTAGAAGCCTTCCTGTGTTGCAGCTGGGCAGAACAGTACTCTGTTCATGGGCTGAAGACACATCTCAGACATGGCCACCACAGCTGTGCTGGGCACAGCTGCCCCTCAAAGCACTGGAGGGTTGGGAGCCTGTTTAAATCACTCTGCCCTCTTCTCTCCTCAGACACATTTCCTTTTACATTATCAACTGCACAACAGCCACATTTGTCTTTCAGAGATGCTCGAGAATGGAGACAGTTTTACCAAACAACATGATCTTCCTTCCCGGGTCTTGACCCCACTCTGTGTCCTCTTATCCTCCTTGCTGCCAATACGTCCCTCACTGAACTTTCTTCCATTGACTTTTTCCATCTCCTCAAGGCCTGCATGACATGCCTCATCTCTAGGCACTGCCAACTGCACCTCCATGGCATGGACACACTAAATCCCTTACATTTCCCTGTATCTCCCACACAGTCTTGAGCTTTGAGCATTGGCACAAGGGCTGTCTACTCCTGAATCCCTCATTCATCAATTATTTGCCCAGCTATCTCTTCCTATTCTCAGAGATGCTGATAAGTTTCTTCTGCTTCAGAACTGCCCGCGGTCTGTCTTTCTCCTACATCTCTTCCTGGGCTGATCAGGTCTCTCCCAGAATTCTCTCTTACCGCTCCCTACTACTAATGCTACTGAATTCTAATTGGCTATTACTCTGTTTCTCCCTCATTGAAATAGAGATTCCTTGAGGATAATGACATTATAGTGTAGTAATGAGGAGGACAGGTTCCAATCCAAGCTACATAGCTACTAGTTGTGTGATCTTGGACTACAAATTTAATCTCTCTGTGATTCAGTTTCCTCATCTGTAAAATGAGGATACTAACAATCCTTACTTTATAGAGTTGTTTGAATGATGTAATCTTACTCCTTTAAGTAGCTCCTCAAAGGAGCTAGTCTGTTTAAAGGGCTTAGAAGAGTGCCTGGCTGGCATGCGATAACAGTTGGTGTTGCTATCACTATTGTAATTATCGATGTATTTCTCATAGACCATGTCAATGTCTGAAACTCAAAAACTGATAGTTGAGTGAGGAAATGAATAAAGAATTATGATACCCTCCTCATTTTACTATTCATGTTTACTTCCAAATATGTTTATAGTAAACATTTTGAGGGTAAATGCAAGAATCTTTTGCCAATTGATATGAAACCTACAAGAATAAAGCATATAGGCATCATATCTGTGAACAAAACTTATGTTGTTTTTTCTTAAGATATTAATAATGGGTATAACTGTAAATTCAATAAAAATTCATCAACTTTGTTTAAAAGTAGTTTATAACTTATTTTTTAAACATACATGTTAACTATGCTTATAATAATAAATGGGCATTCAAGGGCAATTTCATTGACTATGCAACTAAGAACATTAGTATTTACATAAAGCTGCATATTAACTACTTATATTTCCTGATGTTAATATCATTTATGGATTCCTTGCATTTTAATGCATAAGACTTTCACTTGTTTTTTAGCACCACTCTTAATCTGTTTACCCATGCAATCCCAAAACAATACATTCTTTACTCAAAGAAACTAGAATGATCCAAGTAGACACGACCAACAAAGTAAGAATTAATCCTTAGAAAGAAAATGGTTGACACCATTCTAGATTAAAGGGGGAAGTAAGTTAATAATTCAAAGGAAAAAATTAAAAACCTTCCATTTATTGGTGCCAAATGATGCAGAGTTGATAATGTATAAAACAAAACAAACAAAACATATGAATCTACAGTCTTTCTTAACTGGAGTTCCATTAGACAGTTTAGCTATCACATCCTAAGATGGGGGTGGCAAACTGTGGGTAGACTGTGAATCAAATCCAGCATGTTACCTGTTTTTATAAATAAAGTTTTATTGGAATGCATATCATACCCATTCATTTACATATTAACTGTTACTCCTTTTACACTTTAACAACAGAGTTGAGTAGTCAGGACAGAGACCATATGTCCCACAAAGCTGAAAATATTGCCAACTTTCTCTAAAAAAGGCCAGAGAGTAGTATCCTGTCCTAAGACATCCACATATGTGGTGAACTAACTTCACATTTATCCATCTATGATGGTACTAGATATGTATCTTTCTTTGGAGAATTGGAGAGAAAAGTTACTCAAGGCATTTACTAAGTTCTGTGGTTCAGATAGAAAAGGCTCCTTTTTAGCACATTTGCTTCTCTTTTTATTTCTCAGTAGGGTAACATTTTAAATATCTATAAGTTATCACCCAAACTGATATATTTTTGAGTGAAAAGGGACACTGTTAATATTTATGCTGGGGTGATTGGAATAAACTAGGCCTTATGGTCACCCCAGTTGTGAGGTACCACCCAACTGTGAAGTTAAGAAGTCAACCGAAGTCAGACAGGCTAACCCAAGAGTGTTGCTTTAGTTCATGTTTGTATTTTCTGACCTCCCTTTCTCCCACCCCACTGCCATAACCCCGCTGTCATTGTGGATAGCAGGTCTACTTCAAACATCACAACACAAATTTAGAACTTACTTTTTAATCCTTTCTCCAAAAGAAGCTATTTCCTCCAAGATGTTTTGAACAGTTGAAACAATATCCTGTACCATATAGATTCTTTCGATCAACCCCTTTTTCTCCGATTCCTGGAAAACATAAAAGCAAGACTTAACTGTGACTTCATTTTTTAACATGCCGATACAGAAAGTATTATACCATGTTATAATAACAAGCTTTTTACCAATAGAGTGACTACAAGAGATAAATCATTGTTTTACAACTTAAATATGGACTCCCCCGCCCCCAGAAAAATCTGTTCACTCACTCAGATGCTACCACTCCTAATGTGCAAGCCTCAGTTGCTACCTCATTGTCATGAGGTGATGAAGGAAAGCCTCACAGAACCAAGCACTTCACTTTTCTGTGGAGGCTGCTGCATCCGTCACAGAACTCCGCAATCCCGTCAGTCTGGCTAACTCTGACATCCTCTCTGTCTCCACAGGTTTTCTGCAAGATCACCCTATATTCCTCTCCTATCAGAGATGTTCCTGGCATGTTGGAGACAGAGGTAGTATGATTCCTAGTACTGGAACATCTTAGTCAAACTCTGCTGCATTTTTAAGCATGTTTCAAATATATTGCCAGCCTGATAACATTTCATCCACCCTTTGGCAACCACTTCAGAAACAAAGCAAGCCGCTATGGACATGCTACAAAGTAACCCTACAGTGTACTGCTGGGGTGGCAGCCTACCCAGATTATTCCCTTCTGGGATGATCAGCAATTGTGATCTCCTCATGACATTGGAAGCACATATACACTCATCTTCCTTAATCTCCAATGCTTCATGTGAAATGGAATTCAGCTTTCTAACAATATTATCCTTACTTTGTTTATAGAAAACCTTACATGTGTTTTACCATGCCAGGTAACTAACAGTAATGCAGGTTACTTAGAAATCACTCAAATGTCAGAAGATTCCCTAAAGAGTAGTATTTTTACACTATTTTTAATATTCTGATACTATGTTCTAGCTCCCCTGTGGACTTTGCTGTAATTGGGATGTAGTCAATGAGCTCTCAACTCCTGTCTCTCTGGGTCATTGTAGCCACTACACCTATTGTATGAAACCTAAAACCTCAAACAGCTCTTACAAAACTTTTTTCTCACATAGAATTTTAGTTGGGTGACAATTGTACTAAACTATGAAGCAAACACTTCTAAATTTAAGAGGACATTCCTATAATACCATCTGTGCTGCAAAAGGAAAAAATAAAATCATTTTCATCTTGTATCCTTTGTTCCATCAAATTGGAGCCATGGATGGAGTGAAAGAGAACCCACTGCCAATAGGGATTGCAGGTAAAAGCACCAATATGGCACAAATCTTGAAAAGCACAAATCTCCCTTCTTGCATCTGCCTTTATGAAACTACTTGGCTGAAACAAAGGAAGAACACAGGCTAGAATGCCTCACTGCCGCCCCCTCTCCAGTAAAGGGTACTGCAATGGCTTGAATAAATTCTTACCAACAAGACTACTCCTTTATCCATTCATTCTGTGCAGAAGGAAAACCGGGTTCATTGCTTCCTTTTGCAACATCAAACTTTCAAGATACTTTTACTTTTTTATCCTAATTTGAATTTTTTTTCCCTTACTCTAATTCCTCAAGCAGTTTGTGTCAAAAATTAGATATGCTGCCAGAGCGTACTAATTCATGAGTCCACTGACATCTATTAATGGGCACAATGGTGAAAACCCAGCTCTGTCTGCCACATAAGTATTCATGTTTATAAAGGAACATTTGAAAGAACGAGGGAGTTTGACCCAAAGGCCAAAAGTGGCTTCCTCTTTTTGGCAGCATCCAGTTTAGGTCAAAACAATTTCTTGGAAAATGACTCAAGTTTCCACGTCACTCAATTTAATCAAAACTTCCTATTTCAATTTTTTTTCCCCCTATGAAACACCCAAATAGTGAGGTTCTGGTTGTGAAGAAAGCATGAGTTAGTATGCCAAAATAACGATGCTCACGAGTCCTGTTACTTTATAATGAATTTGATGTTTGGAGTATTAAATATCCAAAGACTAGGCTAAAGAGTCTTACTATATCTTGAGTACCAGAATAACTTATCATCTGGACTTGTTTTTTAAGAGTAGAAGTAAACAGAATTAATTTTTGAAATATGGATGAACTGATAACTTGGTTTTATTATATTAGTGGACCTACAAAACTATTCCATTTTTATTTCACAAATACATTATTTTCAAATAAATAGACTTTAGTGCATTAAATTTGTTGATCATCTGGATATTTTAAAATGACACAAGAAGAAGGATTATTTGTGATATACATTCATATATTTTAGTCACTTACTAGCTACAACTGTCTACCCATGTCAGGATTACTTTTCAAAAGAACGTACTTTTTAGTGGCATCTTTTTATTTCTAATATTTCATGAAATTGTTATCAATCACCTTCAGAGGTGTCATTAAATTGACACCTTAATTGACTCCACTGTAGACCATAATTTTAATGAATAATACTTTCTGAGGCTGGCCACAGTGGCTCACGCCTGTAATCCCAGCACTTTGGGAGGCCAAGGCGGGCGGATGACGAGGTCAGGAGATGGAGACCATTCTGGCCAACATGGTGAAGCCCCATCTCTACTAAAAATACAAAAATTAGCTGGG